GCTTGCTCACACCTCTGGTTCGTATGGGGGAATCCCACATGATCAACTGGAAGAGGAGGAAAAAGCCCAACTTTAGTTTACTGATGGGTCATCTTGGTATGTGGATACAGCCAAAAATGCATGGCAGGCTCAACAGGGGTGGCTCTGAAAGACAGCAGTAAGGGAAAAACCTCTCAGTTGGTGAGGCTTCCAGCAAGGCAGCAAAGATAACTTCCCATGGAAAAAGGGGCACTGGTGACTAGCCCAGTAGGACTGGAAGGTCAGGACAAGGTCTGCGGTAGACATGTGCCTGGACACTCAGGGAGTGGGCATGAAGAGGTTTGTACCACATGTCATCACCCACCATAGGAACAACTAGGTAGACAAAATGACCTCATCAATTAATATCAGCCAACCCATTATCAGCAAGATGGGTCCACGAACAAAATGCCCACCATGGCAGAAATGGGACAGACAGCATGAATGAACACTTACTACAGCAGATCTAGTTACGATGTCAACAAATATCCAATCTGCTAGCAACAGAGACCAATACTAATCTCCCAAAATTGCATCACTCCTTGGGTCCCTTCTGTCCTGAAAGGCTAACAAACTCTTATCCCAGGAATAGTAATCCTTCCAACTGTGAATTTCCCCTTCTGGCTTTCAGGGCCTGAGTCAGAACCACCATCCAAGGACTTATTGAGAACCTTTGAACCTCCAGCACAGGACCCCACATAATAGCCTATCGTGGAATCTCATCACATTATAACTTACTGACAGCACAGCTGGAGTACCAGCTTGGCAGTCAGACTTGGCAGACTGGTACCATTCTCCAGGACATAGTACATGCACTGGATCAGAGACCTTTGTATGGTACCATGCCCAGAAGAAAGAATACATGGGTCTGGAAGCCAAGGGGAAGAAGTATCCTCTATACTGTCTAACTCCCCATGTCCCAAAGGGACTTTGGGCATCCCTTTTCTGTGACTCTGGGTCTACCCAGTTAGAGATCTTGATCCCTAAAGCAGGGGGCGGGTGATAAACTTTTGTCAGGGTGCAGCAAGAGTCTCAAGGCATTATAAGGTACGGCTGCCTCCTTGGTACTTTGGGTTCCTGGCCCAGGAACCAGTGAGCAAACAGAAGAATGACCATCTTGCCAAAGTGACTCTGACCCTAAGAAGGTAGGCCTGCTGTTACACAGAGGAAATGGAGAGAAAGCTGTGTGGAGTCTAGACAGTCCACCTGGGTATACTGCTACTGACTTGTGATTTTAAGTTGGGACAAAGAAGCCCTGGCCTAGGTCTGGCAGAATGGCTCAAGTGGTAGAGTGCTTGCCTAACAAGTGTGAGGCCCTTAGTTCAAATCCCAGTACTGCCAAAAGGCAGGGGCAGGGGCAGGGGCAGAGGCAAGGCAAGGCAAGAAACCCTGGCCTAAGAAGGGCCTCACAGTGATGAGGCTCTGGACCTCTTCACTGGGAGAGCCACTGGGTCAGCACTGGCAGCCAGGTGAGCAGAATCCAGAAAGAATATTAAAGAGAGAGACAGCAACTACCAATAGTGGCTCCAAGAACAGCTGCAGCAGCAGGGGCTACCATTGGTCCCCTTAAGCTTCTCTCTCAGGAAGGGAAGCCCATTGGGTACCAGAAGGAATGGATTCTTAACTGCACTTGGGGAAGTAGGGCAGGGCTCCATACGTAACTGAGAGACATGGAAATGCACCCACATAATAGTCTCCCCACAGTAAAAGCACAACAGTTTAACATCCATTGTTATTCACTGTACATGTTGAAAGGCTGTACAAATATGCCATGACTAGAAAAAATCAGTTAGTCTCATTCTGGAAGACAGTCACACAGTAAGAGTATCGTAGTTGATGAAGATCAGGGAAGATGAGAGCGCCACAAATCCGTCCTCTAGGTGGAATATGCTACTAGCTAGAGGGCTGTCAGCACATGACCACCAGCAGTCAGCTCATCCAGATCCACCTCAATTGCAGAGTGCTGTCCTGCAGCAACCATCTCCCTGAAGCCACCTACGTCAGATGACGAGTGAGGCAGGGGTAGAAAGTCCCACTTCCCGGTCAAGAGAGGGCAGCTGGTAATACTGGCTCAGAGATCTCCTTGGGGGCCTAGACTTCGTGGGGGCTACACTGTGGTCTGCCCTCTCCCCTGCCCAATTCTGTTTCCTCTTCTGCCTTCCACAGGTGCTGATCCCTAATCAACAAACTGCACCCCAACTTCACTTCAACTCTTGCTTCCTGGAAACCTAATCCATGATACTGATGAACATGAGGCACTTCCACCTTCTACAGCTATGACACGTGGCTTCTGTAGTCCCTGTGTCCAGATATGCATTCCCGGCCTACCACTTCTAGGCTGGGAAACTCTGGACAAGGTGTGAACCCTAGCGTAACATGTGTACGTCTGAGAAGAGTGACACTACCCCTCTGAATGACACAGGTGCCTGTATGGTGACTTTTATGATTAATTAGCTCTGCAGTGGTTTTTCCCCTACTAAAGACTTGCTTTTGCTGATGATCTTTCATCTCATTTCTTTGAACTCTGGTCTATAAACCTGGGCTCCTTTGTAGCACAGAAATATCTGTTCCTATTGGCTGATGAAGTATTGCTTCTCTGCCAAAAAGCAGCGCTTACAGGGCAGACCTCCAGGTCAACTGGAGCACCATAGCAGAAAGTTCCAATGCCTAGCATGCAAATGCTGAAACCATCAGCCTCCACCTGCAAAGAACTAGAAGCAATGGGTTTGAGACTATTGCTAGGTTCCCAGGCAAGTCTCAATAAGCGAGCCGGACATGGCACACTTGGGGAAATCCAAGAACAGCAAAACAGAGGGAGGTGACGCAATGAGACCATGCAAAACATCACCTGAAAAAAGACAGATATGAAAGGTGTTCCATATACTTCATCTCATGGGAAAGACAGACAGAGGTGGAGCATCAATGGAAGTACTGGAGGAAGAGAGCTAAGAGCTCCAGTTCTGGCTCTGCTCCTAAAAAAGCTCAAGAACTTCTTCAAGAAGTTATATGTACCTCTGGTTTCCATAACCACGAAATGGGGGCAGAAAGGAGATGTTTCCTGGTTCTTTCTGATCTGGGTTTTCATAATGCCCCAAAGACTGTCCCTCAACAATATCAGAAGTTCCTCTGGGGAGAGGATAATTCCATATGCTGTCTAAATGTCTTCTGGATGAACTGCATTGAATTAATTGGTCATAAGGGACCTTTAAGTTTTAAATGTGCCTTTGTTAAAAATAAAAATATGCAAAAGGCAGAAAGAGAAAGAGGTGAGGTGAGGTTAGTTTGTGAGAACCAATCCTACGCCACATGGATGCTTTCTTGGAGAAGGGTGGAGTGGGGTGGGATGGGGGAAGACCCGTTTTAATTGACAGAAGGAGGCTCAAAGAGGAAAAGGAACTGGTAGCTTTAATTCACTTAATGTTGATGTATTACTTCATTTCAGTTATTTTATTTTTTCCAAAATGCCCAAGTTCACCCTCCCCCAATCTAAATCAACTTTGCTATGTGTCAAATAGGGAAAGGATAGCTTTTTCCAGCTATTATGCTTAGGATTCACAGTAGCTTAATAATATGATAAAAATGAAATGAAATTGTATCTTAAGACTATGAGAACTGGGTACAGTGGCTCATGCTGGTAATCCTAGCTACTCAGAAGGTGGAGATCAGGAGGATAGTGGCTCAAGGTTAGCCCAGACAAAAAGCAAGACCCTCATTTCAACAAATAAGTGGAGTATGGTAGCACATGCCTATGATCCCAACTACACAGAAGGCTGTAGGTAGAAGGGTGATGGTTAGAGCAAGCCCAGGGCAAAAATGTGAGACCCTACCTGAAAAGTAACCAAAGCAAAAAAGTACCAGAGGATGTGGCTCAAGTGGTAGAATGCCTGCCTAGCATGTGTGAGGTCCTTAGTTCAAACTCCAGTACCATCAAAAATTTTTTTAAAAGACTGTGACTTAGAAACCTATTTTCTTTAGAGCAATATGGTGCCCTTAAGTTTTTTCCTCTGGGGACAGACAAGCTGTGAGGGGCTAGGGTAGTTGCACAGAAAGAAAGTCCCTAGAACCAAGAGTTGTATTCCTTTAAAAGATACACCTGGGAATGTCTTTACATGACCCCAAAATATAGCAGGTAAGAGAGTTAGAGAGGCATGGAAAGTTCTACTCAACAATTCCTAATGGAGTCTCTCTATAGGCTGAGTACCCAGGAAAATCCTAAGACTGTCCTGTCCTACTACAACATATCCACTGAGGTTCAAGACTAAGGTGTCTCTAAGTTTGATGTGAGACCGAAGTATGGTAGCTGACCTCCCAGGGTGGATTACCTATCCATGGCCTCTTGACTGACCTCCCAGTACTGGTGGGAAGGCTTGCTCACCACTGAGTAAGCAGCACCTCGCATTGCGGGCACCCCACTGCATCTGTTGATTCACAAACATGAATATAAAGTAGAGCAGGGTGCAAATAAACACGAGGAGCATGAACTGAGACTTCAGTGGTTCAAAGATGGGTATTTCTACCACAAAATCAGAACAAACTAAGGAGAAGCCTGTCCCCAACAACAACCTTCTCCAGACCCGCAGCTATCATACCTGTATAACAGGTTATGTGATAACAAAAGTTAAGAAACACGGTCAAACATTCAGGCAAACCCATGAGCCTTTAGACTCTGACGTGCTTCAGATGTACTACTATTTCTTCTGAATTACCTACAGCAACTAGTGGAATCATGAGCACTCAGTAGGCACTCAGCAGATAATCAATCCATCAATATATAATAATTTATTTATGATAGGCCCTACATTAAGGCATGGTCAATGCCTTCAGAGGAAATTCTGAAAAACCTATATTTTCAAACATAATTTCTCTGCTCTTCATTAAGGAAGACACAAAGATGGTAAAATAGACATGAGAAGATGCCCACCATCATAGGTCATCAAGGAAGTGCATGTCAAAACCACAATGAACCACCACTAGATACCTACCACTAAAAAGATCAACTTCGCCAAGCGTCGATGAGGATGTGGAGCAACTGGAACTCTCATACCCTGTTAGAGGGAATGTAAAATAATACAATTTCTTTGGAAAACATTTTGGTAATTTCTTAAAAAGATAAGCATATACTATATGATCTAAGTATTCACCCAAGAGAAATGAAAACACATGTCCATACAAACATTTGCATTTAATGTTCATAATGGTATATTTACAATAACCAAGCAACCCAAATGTCCATCGACAGGTGAAAAAAAAAAAAAACCAAATTGCGGGATATTCATCCAATAGAATACTATACAGC